CATCTATGGATAGATCTCTTCAGAGCATGGATATAACCATATGAAAGAAGTGGAAGAAATATACTTTCAAAATCAGTTCTGTTGGAAAGTTGTTAGAACATCTAGCCAATTTTTATCCATTTTGTCTGTCTTTTCAACAGACACCGTTGTGTTCTCTTGAACGTAGATGGCTTTTCGTATGCCTTTTAAAACTGCTACGATACGAAGATTTAACATGGAAGTCACCTCTTGGTGAAATCACAATAGTATTTTAATAAGAATATGTAAGGTTTTAAGATTCGAATCATTTCAGTCGTTCCGAGTTGGAAAGAATATTGTCCAGATTTTCCTAATCTGTTTTTCTTTGCAGTTTTTCAAGACATGCGAATAGCTATCTATGTACAAGAAATAGTTCCAGTGTCTGTCTGAATCATAGAGAGCACAGATATAAATCACCAAGGTTTTCTTATAACTATCAAATGATCAGGATCGATTTCAATAACATATTAATTGCTATCCTTTTCATTAAATGCACGAATAGCTGCAAACAGTCTGCATTAACAAGAAAAAGTGACTAGCTTCTTCACTATTTTCATAAAACTGGCAAAAATTACCAATATTTACTTTCATTTTCTTCTTTTCATACATTTAGACACAGTATAAAACTCACATAAACTATACTTAATTACTGGTATCATTTCAGGATAGAAAAGTCTTCTGAACACCGATAGACTAAAAGGGCTTACGAGAGAGACTGCAATATCAAAAGACTTACGTCTGCTTCTTGTAATAGAACGATATTGACGAATATTGTAATAACGAATATAATACCTTGGTAATGTATCGATGTTGTTTAATAAAGAAAATGAAAGTAATACTTTGCTTATATGTGTATCGAAATAATGTTTGGCTGGCGTCCATTCAACCGTATACGTTGGATAAAGTATGATCATATATTAATGAAACAAACTGGGGTTTTTCCCCATAGAAATGTTATTATTCTTTTGCTTATGTACATATCGAAACAATGCTTGGCTGGCGTGCATTCAACCGTATACGTTGGATAAAGCATGATCATATATTAATGAAACAGACTGGGTTTTTTCCGACAAAAATGTTATTATTCTTTTGCTTGTTCTATCACTTATCGATGAGACAGCTTGAATAATAAAGAGGGAAAGTTAATCGATTGTTGGAAAAATGTGCATAATATCACGATTTTCTTTTTCTTTTTCTTTCTACCATTGCACAGGATACGTAAAATATACAGGCTTCACAACTAATAATACGCTGATTTATATCATCGATCCTGTTAAAAACGAGCTCAATGGTCCCTTCTGCCTGTGACAGAAGATATTGGTTTCTACTACCTCTTTTGGAAGCATTTCTTGTCCAAACATATATTCCTCCTCAAAAATCGACATTTGGATGAGGTCCAGTCCTCGGTATCCTTTCTGACCCTCAAAGAAACTTGAGAGTCACTTTCGACATCTGCCTCGGCCACTATCATCGTGAGTATCCTTGCTTTGATTCAGATTCATTTTCTAGTCGTTATTTTTATTTAGGTTGTAATTCAAATCATCATTCTGTTATCTATCTCGGTGGGAAATCAGCTTCTGACACAACTTACACTCTCAATCGATAGAATCAATTACATTATCAACTTCAACCTTGGTATCAAGATCTGTCAGACTGATTCTGTTCCGTAGTCACTCTATCAAGGGAAGCATCTCGCTTAGTTATTACTCATTGTTCTGTACTATCCCAAAGCTTTTCATGGAGCAGTACTCATTTTTATAACAGTTGCGTTCTATTTTTGTCCTCAGTTGGTATCTTAGCTTTAGAGTGTACTCGCAGTTTGATCATGTTCTTAATTAGAGTGGTAGCTCCGAACTGAACTACAATACTCATTGCAGACATGCTTTGGGACCACTGCTTTCGGTAGGCTTTGGTAACTGAATTCGATAGTTCATCAAATTTCTGGAAAAATAGTTTCAGACGATTACGATTTTTTTTGGCACGAATTCTATCTGATCTTTTTTGGATTATTTACTCTTTATTTTTTAGTTAAATCTTGCTTTGCGCCTGATAAAGAGACAATATTTTATTTTCAATTTTTTTGTAGACATTTTTATTATTTTCAAGGTTAAGCCCAATAAAGATTTTTATGGTCTTCTTTAATTTCATGAAGAGGAAACGAAAATTCAAATGAAAAAAAGCAGTTGTGGTATTTTTCTTTTCACAAATAACCGAAAAAGTATGCTAAGAAAACAAGTGCAAAAGCTTGTCAACGCAGCTCCTTTGGAGCTGAAATGTGGAACTTACGTATGTGCTTCCGAGTTGTTATCATAATGCATTATTTCTAAACTAAAAAATAGTCTTCGTTTCGAATAATTATGAGTGCACTAGAAAATTGTAGAAGATCTGAATTCTGCGCAATTGCTGAGGTCTGTAATAATGGCCTGTTTGTAATGGGAGTGGGGAGAGGGTGGGAGAAGAGGGGTTACATTAGCAATCTTCTGTTCCTGTTGCTATGTGTCTGTAATGGGGTGGAGGAGGAGAGGAACTGGAACATCTTGGTCTTAAAATTTATACTGACTATTTTCTTTGAAAATGTACGTAAGTTCCGCAACCAAACAAATTCTCCAGGGAATGTATCGATTAATGTGTTCTATGAATGATATTTTTGAAAATAGGTGTATGAAACAAAGCTTCAACATCAATATGAAAACTTTTAAAACCGAGTAAGATACAACAAGAGGGTTCTGTTTCCTGCAGTGTAAAGAATGATACTACTACATTTTAGACGAAAATGCGTAATATTTTGTTTGTTTGTGATAAAAGAATAATTAACAAAACCTCAGTTTTGCTTCGTTTGCAAGCAACGTCAGGTTCAACTTGGAATGCATGAACCAATAGTCACACACACGATAACTTAGTAATTGAGTTTTAAAAGACAAAATCAGTACTTCCTAACTTAAAGAGAGACGATAAACAAACTCCAGATCTTGTCTGTCACGGTCTGTGGGGAGAAAAGGGAAGTGAGTCCATATTTCTACCTCTAAAGAGTTCAACGCTCGTTTCAGATCGTATTTGACAAAACTGCTTCTTCCATGAAGAGGCTCCAAGCCTTTAAGAGAGAGTCCGTGAGATGATCGAGTATCGTGGTAGATATTGAAGTACTCGATAAAATTTGAATTTTTGTTTTTATGTTCTTATTTTGTTCAGCATCATCTAAAACCGCTAAATGCAAACTTTTAGAGCATTTCGTTGAGCCATTGGAAAGTTAGCTCGAATGCACCTATCAAAGGGTAAGAGTCTTAGTTGAGGAAAACTAAAAAATCCTGCATAGAAAGTTAAGATTCTTTTAGATGACAATAATTTTATGAAATTTTTCGTGTAATATACCAAAAGATACGGCTTCGACGCTGAACAAAATCATCTTTTAATATGTTAGATTTCCATGGACTAATCGAGAGTTATCTATGAAATACTATCTATAACTCGTTATTTTCTAGTGGAAAAATGAGACTATCTTTTAGCAATATATTACAGTGTATCAGCTTCCGTTTAGTCATTTTAAGAGATCCTGCGCTGAATATTTTATAAGCTATACGACTTTTTTCTCTCGACAAAATTGTTATAAAAAAAAATAAAAAAGATTTCGAATGATGTCCAAAAATGGCTTACAACGTTGATCAATTGGACAGTGTCTATGAGAAAAAATTATTTTGAATATTTTTTTCTGAAAAACGAACAAAAGTTTAAGAAGACTATGATGCATCTAAAGTATTTTTCACACAAGTACGATATATTTCAATAAGCAAATCGTCTATATAAACTGTTGAATTATCATTTATCGTAATTTACGAAGGTAAAATGGGTTAGCATCATGTTATGCAAAAGAGCTGAAAACACTTTATAAGTCGATTAACGTTCAATTTTACTTCAGTGGAAGTTAAAGTATTGTTTAAATAGTTGTACACTTACTTTATACAAGACGCAGGATTGATGGTCACGTTTAAGGGGAATCTTATCCGTGCTTCTCCTCTTCGGCACGTAGAGCCCATGATGCCTGAAGAGGAGGGACATTATTCGGAAAACACATGTCCCTTTATTGTCTATGAAGGGTACTTGGAAAAGCCGCACTCATGCAAACAATATAATTCTTTATCAATGGTCATTATTCAGAAAATCCGTGCCCATTGGTATGTTCACGCGAGCATAACTCGGTAAAACCGTACCCATCCGTTTATTTAGAATGACTTAGCCCTAATCCGGTAAACCTGGTTCTGTTTTATATTTTATTTGGTTTTCTTTAATGTCAGAGGAGTGGTTGTAGCTGGGAATACATTTAAAGAGATGATTCAAGTGCCATTTTAGCATTCATACTAAAGCTTGCTAGCATTTTGATCTCTTACAGAGCAATTTCAATATCTTGAAAATCTTAGTTTAATGTTTCAAGTTCAAAGTCAATTTCCTCGTTCTCAATATCATTACCAGTATTTTTGACGGGTTTATTTTCGATGAGGACTTTACTATCTGACAAATTTTGAGTGGTAATCATCTGTTGTTCGCGTTTTAGTTGACAGAAAAATGAGCAAACCTCATTTTCATTTTAAACTTGGATAGCCGAAAAGTAAAGCTTGCCGTTTTCTTTCAAGGTCTCCCTATCTAATACAAACTGTTTCGGTTTCCAACGTTTCATACCGGAAACGCCTTCATCTAATTTTTTTTTGAAGTACCTACACTGTTCATCTAAAATATGTATGCTCGATTTACGTATGGACAAAACCCAGCCTTGAGGAAGAGAATTCATTTCGGGTGTGAATGTGTGGCGATGGGTGCGTGTGGCTGTGAGACGAGGACATCTACATGAACACCCAAGCCTACACCCGTACCCCATGCCCACACCCACATCCACACCTATTGGTGTCCCTTTTTGTTCTAAATTGACAAAAGCTTCTTGCTGCTTAAATTGTCTCAAAACAAATCATTTTAAAGTATTTAAAATACTTTTAATGGAACTTGATGAGGCATCCACAGCTGACGGCTATTATGATCGAATCAAGGCTATTTGTGGACAAATCAGGGTCGTAAGTTTTCGCAAAAGAGGTTTCGATTTATATGGTCTCAGCAATTTAGATGGACTGGCTTTTAACACCGATACGATTTGCACGCGTTACTCATTTCAACCTAGTTATTCATAAGGTAGACCAAGAAGCCAAATCATATCTTCAGCGGACATCTTTAGGCGTTCAAAATATGGTTACAATTGACGTCATTGCAGATGGCAATTGTCTCTATAACTCTATCGTATGTTTGACTGATAATACAGTTTTGATATCTTGCGAACCGAGAGGTAGGTACTTCCAACTTTACTATTCAGTTCTGTTAATACAATCTTTCTAATTCAAAATGTAATAGAACTCGTAAAAAATGAAACTCTCTACAGCAATCGCCTTGCACATATTGTTGGACCACTCAATGAGGTGATAAAAATATCACCCATCATTTTTCATTCTCGGAACTTTATGAAATCCCAGCCTTGAGCAATGTTCTTCAATGCAATATACGAGTTATATATCCTAGAATTGATTATCGACCTGATCTAGACATCATGAATAGTACGTTTGAGCATGCTCAATCCAGTATTTCATCTAAAACAATTTATATATCCTGGTTACATACTCAAAGTGAAAGAGACACAAGTAAAAGTAATGTTGATAATTGGACACCTAATAATTTCGTACCACTTTTACTTCCATCGAGTGAGTCTCAGAATCAAAGTAACCTGACTGAACCGAAATCCACTGTGTCACGCTCGGTGAGTTTAATGTTTTAGTACAGAACCTTTTACACAAATAAAACACACTTTCACTTACAGACGCCAACTAATTCAACAACGAAGAATAACGTACTAACTCGAATTTGCATCCCTGAATTTAATATGGAGAATAATAAAATTCAACAATTTCAAACATCATTGACCTATTACATGGTAAGCCAGGAAACCGCAACAACTTCTCGAACTAAACGAATAGTACAAGCAAGTGAGACTCACACGAGCGCGAAGAACACGAATATTGACAAAAGACGATTACAAGCTTGTCAAAGGATGGCTTTTAAACGAGCTCAAGCTACACCAGAGGAAGCTGAAAGATAGCGGATATTTGCAAGCGAAAGACGCGCTATCAGAAGAGCTGCCTTTACATCAGAACAAGCTAAACTAGAGCGGCCCCTTGCAGGAGAAAGAATTGCAGCTAGAAGAGTTGCTTTAACATCAGAATAACTTGAACATGAACGTACTATGACTCGAGACAGAAGTGTAGCCAGAAGAACTGCTTTAACAGTGCAAGAAATCGAAGTCCAGCGAGGGCTAACTCGTGATAAATTTGCAGCATGGAGAGCTACTTTTACATCGAAAGAGATCCAGCTACAACGAACACTTGCTGCCGAACGAAGTATGAATAAACGAGCTACTGCATCACCAAAAGAAGCTGAAGAACAGTGTGTGGGTGTGGGTGGGTGTGGGTGTGGGTGTGGGTGTGGGTGTGGGGG